CTCGGCTCCCACATCACCCACTTCTCTGTTTCTGTGAGTTTTGTGTTTTGTTTTGTTTTTTTTTTTAGATTCTAGGTGTGTGAGGTTATACAGTATTTGTCTTTTCTCTGTCTGACTTAGTTCATGTAGCAGAATGCCCTCATGGTCCATTTGTGTTGTTGCAAATGGTAGGATTTCCATCTTTCTCAATGCTGAGTACTATTCCTCTGTGTGTGTGTGTGTGTGTGTGTGTGTGTGTGTGGTATCTTCTTTATCCATTCATTTACTGATGGAAAGTTAGGTGTGTGTGTTTGTCTTGGCTAATGTGAATAATGGTGCAGTGAACATGGGAGTGTAGGTACTTCTTTGATAGCCTGTTTTCATGTCTTTGAATATATGTATATCTAGAAGTGGTATTGCTGAAGGATATGGGAGTACTGTTTTTAATTTTTTGAGGAACCTCCATACTGTTTCCCACAGTGGCTGCACCAATTTATATTCCCACCAGCAGTGCACAATATTTGTTATCCTCGTCTTGATAACCACCATTCTGACAGATAGAAGGTCATATTCTTTTTTTTTTTTTTTAAGATTTTATTTATTTGACAGAGAGAGAGAGATCACAAGCAGGCAGAGAGGCAGGCAGAGAGAGGGGGAAGCAGGCTCCCCAGTGAGTGGAGAGCCCGATGCAGGGCTTGATCTCAGGACCCTGAGATCATGACCTGAGCCGAAGGCAGAGGCTTAACCCTCTGAGCCACCCAGGTGCCCCTAGAAGGTCATATCTTATTGTGTTTTAGATTTGCATTTCCCTGAAGATGAGTGATGTTGAGCATCTTTTTATGTACCTGCTGGCCATTTGTATGTCTCCTTTGGAAAAATGCCTATTCAGTTTATCTGCCCATTTTTAAAAATCAGATTGTTAGGGGTTTTTTTTTTCCCCCTTTGCTGTTGAGTTGTGTGATATTAACCTCTTATCTGATATATGGTTTGTAAATATTTTCTCCCATTCTGTAGGCTGCTTTTTAATTTTGCTGATGGTTTCCTTTGCTGTGCAGCAGCATTTTAGTTTAGTTTGCTTTCATTGTCTTGGCTTTTGGTGTCAAATCCAAAAAATCATTGCCAAGACTGATACCAGAGAGCTTACTCCCTATGTTTTACTAGGATTTTTATGCTTTTGGGTCTTATGTTCAAATCTTTAATTTGGTCTGAGTTGAATTGTGTGTAATGGTGTACAAATAGTGATCCAGTTTCATTCTTTTGCTTCTGGCTCTCTAGTTTTCCGAGCACCATCTACTAAAGGAGGCTATCCTTTCTCCTTTGTAGTATATTCTTGGCTCCTTTGTCATATGTTAATAGAGCATTATGCATGAGTTTATTTCTGGGTTCTCTGTTCTGTGTTGCTCAACCTTTTCTTCTTTTTACTGTTATTATTAACATTGGTACTACTTCTGTGTTTTAAGAATTTAGGTTAATTTCTTTAGGCTAGATTCCCAGAAATGTGGTTATTGGCCGGGTTTTAAGGTTAGGATTATTTTCATGTTCTTGATGTATGTTGGTTAGTTTCTTCTCCAAAAGGCAATGCCAGTTTGAACTATAATTTGCAGTGTCTTTAAGGCCTGTTCCCTCTGCCACATTGGGGGGTCTTATTTTTTATTTTGAAAGGCAAGATAGAAACTTGAAGGCGGCAGGGGGGAACAGTGCCAGTCATTCATTCTGACTGCTTATTTTCACTCAATGGACTGTCACATGCAAGGTCCTAATGTGATAAATTTTCAATTTATACAACCCCAGTCTTTCTCTTCATCATCAACTTCTGGAAAAGAAAGCTATAACAAATGGGAGCATATTCTTGATAGTTCTGAAGAGAGTACACTGAAGTTGTACATTTTTAGTTCAGACGTGCAGTTTACAAGGCCATGTTTGAATACTAGCAAGCAACTGAAAAATCAGGTTTTGTTATGGGGTGGAGATTTGGGAGTATGTATGTCCTTGAGAAGAGGTTAGAGAGTTTATGTATTGACATTCTGGAAATACCTGGGGGAGAAAAAAGGCTGGTAAGGTTGTGGATGAATTTGTATTACAGAAGTCATGTAACTCAGAAAAGAAGGTTTAAGCCAAATAAAACTATATTTACTGTTTCTCTCTCACGTAAATTACTTCCATTTTATGACTGGGAAGTGTCTGAAGCTGGATACAAGCTCAGTAAAGATCGTGGAGGAAGCCACTACAAGGTCTTACTTGAGAATATGCTCCCATTTGTTATAGCTTTCTTTTCCAGAAGTTGATGATGAAGAGAAAGACTGGGGTTGTATAAATTGAAAATTTATCACATTAGGACCTTGCATGTGACAGTCCATTGAGTGAAAATAAGCAGTCAGAATGAATGACTGGCACTGTTCCCCCCTGCCGCCTTTAACAACAACTTATAAAACAATTTTGGCTTGAATTATTTCTGATCATAAGCTTGGTGTTTAGGCCCTTCTCACTTGGGAGACTACAGATTTGGGGCCGTTTCCTTTTCTTTACCAAAAAGTAGTTTTTATAGGTTTTGGTTAGATAAACCATTTAACAAACAAACAAAAAAGAGAGGCAAAACCGAGAAACAGACTCTTAACTGTGGAGAACAAACTGGTGGTTACTGGAAGGGAAGTGGGTGGAGGTAAAGTAGGTGATACAGATTAAAGAAGGCAAGTGTTGTGATTAGCACCAGCTGTTGCTTGGAAGAGATGAATCACTATATTGTAAACGCAACTAATGTTATACTGTATGTTGATGGACTAGAATGTAAATAAAAACTTGTGGGAAAAAAAAGAAAAAACAATCTTAGCCACATGCCTTTTGATTGAATGGCTATAAAGTTAATTTCTAAAATAGTTTGTAACCTTTAAACAAGGTATATTTTGTAGCTGTTCTCTCATTATCTGTTTAGGCATTTCCTTGTGAGGATAATGGATGTACCCCCTTCATAAATATCATCTCCTAAAGATGTCCCCTGCTTTTGAAGTCTGCCTTTAACAGTTTGTTATTCCGTGTTGGTTTTTTTTTTATCGTATTTCAGTAATTAAGTTGGCACATTGAAAAATGTTCTATTCTTGGTAAGAGGTGAATAAGAATTATTTGAGTACTACTTTATAAAAACAAATACAAAGTTTAGAATTTCATGGCAAGTTTTCACAGTGTATCTTACCAGGCTTTTTCTTTTCCATTCTCTTCTTCACTGCTTCTCAGTATCATATTTCACTAATTTAGTCACATGCATCTACTTATGTCTCTAAGCCTTTTCATGATATTCTGTCTTACAGAATTATCCATATACCTGTCTGATTTTTCACCAGCTGTCCAATCCATACTTAAATGTTATGTCCCTGTGTCACTCTTACTGTGAAACTCCCACTCACACAAGAACCCATTATTGCCCTCCTCTGCTATCCCAGCACTTGATACCTGTTTCGTCTATTACACATGTCTTTTTATAGCCAGATGTATTTATTTTTATCTCCCACACCGGACTGTGAGGTCCATTGTCTTTGTTTAGTTAGCATCAAGCCAAAAGCCTTATTCATAGGGGTTGTTCGTTTATTGGGCAAAGGGATATCCTTTGGGCATGCCAAACCTGGTGTTACCAAGAAGCAAACCTACATTCTTTGCTATAAAGTTGTAGTAACAGTACAAGTTTAAAAGGATAAAGGCCATTGGGTTCAAGTATTTCAGATTACAGTTGTTAATCTCAGTTTTATTATGCAGTTCTGTATGGCCAGTGGTGAATAAAACCTTAGCTTTCCAAATATAGAAAGATGTTGAAATACTGAGCACTGTAGGATCTTTCTTCCTGCCTTCCTCCCTTCCTTCCTTCATGCATTCCTTCCACTATCATTTCTTTTTGATAGTGGCGCTTTGTACTTAATTGTCAATTTTGGTCTTTGTGTATAAACCATAAGAAGCCAAGGGCACAGCCACATGTTGTGGGCCTTTTATTTGAGTATGTTAGTTTAAAATATTTTTCATTGTGCCTTAAACTTTCTAATTATAAAAGTATCATTTGGGTAAATGCTTCTGATAGAAATTAAAACAAAATAAAGATACACAAAGGCAAAAAGACGTCCGTATTTGTACTCGTCATATTTCGTACTTCTTCACAGAGATCTTCATGATAGAGTCTGATTTGAGTATTTTCATTCTGCTCTCTATACATTTGCATTTAGATACAGATACTGATTTTATAAAATGTAACTGGGATGGATATAATATATATATGTGGGTGCATGCGTGCACATGTGTCTAGGTGTTTAATGACTTTTTCTTTCTGACTTAACCATATGTCTTGGAGAATCATGTTAGTACCTGGTGATTTGTTTCCTTTTTAATTGCTGTTAGCCATATTGGGGATGTATATTATGGTAAAACAGAAAAATCCAGGGAACATAAAGCAGCAAGGTGTTTCATGTAATCTAATCAAGTGATAGTTCTTGAGGTGCTCAGTCAAATTAATGTCTGACAAGTTGGGATAGTTAGCACAGAACCTTACCTTTGACTTGCTCATGTGAATTCTTTTTGTATATTTTTAAAAAATATTAATGTTTAAATGTTAAAATGTTTAAATAAAAACTTAAAAAAGAATACAAAGTTCTGGCAATTAATTTCTACAGTGATGATCTCTCTTTCTTTCTTTTTTTTTTTTAAGATTTATTTATCTGGGGGGAAGAAGGGATAGAGGGAGACAGAGAATCTCATGCAGACTCCCCGCTGAGTAGGGAGCCTGACCCTGAGATCATGACCTGTGTCAGATGCTTACCCAACACCACCCAGGTGTCCCCAGTGATGATTTCTGTAAGGTTTCTCAGGGTATTTGTTAATTGAGTTAATTCAGTATTCCATTTTCTACTGTCAAGGATTCTTTGGCAGTAACTGTCAGAATTTAATATTCTTTTATTCTGTTTTTAATATCTCTTTCTTGCCTTATTTTCTTTAACATTTATTTGAAAACCTCATTTGCTTATTGTAAGATGAATTCTTTTTTCCAGCATCCAGTGTTGGATGAACCAATAGCAGAAGCTGTCTGTATTATAGCAGATATGGATAAATGGACTGTGCAAGTGGCCAGTAGCCAGAGACGAATGACAGATAATAAATTGGGAAAGGAAGTATTAGTTTCCAGTCTTGTGTCCAACCTGCTTCATTCCACTCTTCAGCTTTATAAACATAACTTATCTCCAAATTTTGTAAGTATGTATACGGCTTGAATTATTTAGCACTCCGATAGGTGACTGAACTTTATTTAGAATGTGCCTACATTGAATACTGCTATTAGCTTCATCATTGTTTCCTGGAATAAAAAGATGTTATGGACTCAAGGTTTGTGTTCCTCTAAGATCCCTGTGTTGAAGCCCTAACACCCACTCTGTTGGTATTTGGAGATGGGCCTTTGGGAGGTAATTAGGGTTAGATTAGGTGATGAGGGTGGAGCCCTCATGATGGCATTGGCGGATCTTCTAAGAAGAGGAAGAGAGATTGTGAGGACAGAGCCAGAGGCAGTCGTCTACATTCCCAGGTGAGAGCTCTTGCCAGAACTGGAATATACTAGCACCCTGACGTTCACGCTTCTAGCCCCCAAAACTGTGAGAAAGTAATTCTCTATTGTTTAAATCACTGAATTTGTGCTATTTTATAATGGCGGCCCAAGGGGATGTGTACATATCTATATATTGTATGGTTTTGGCAGCTAGAATTTGGTGCCTGACTAGTTTCATGTAAGGTATGGATATGTGGTATCTCTAAGCTTTGCATAGAATGCCAGTGCTTTCTGGAGCCTCTTTTTCCTGTCAGGACGTTGAAGGAACCCTCTTCATAATACTGAATAACCTCTTACTGAAGACAGCATTTCCAGCTTTCAAAGTTCTTCTTTTTTTCTTGTTAGGACAAATAAAATACAGCTTACTTAAAAACTTCTGTAGATAACATAATAAAGGCCACATACGACAAAACCACAGGTAACCTTATTCTTACTGGTGAAATATTAAAAATTTTACCTCTCTGATCATGGACAAGACATGGATGCCCACTTCTACCACTTCTCTCCATCAGAGTATTAGAAAACCCTAGCCAGAGCAGTTATAAGCAAGAAAAAGAAATGAAAGGAAGAAGTAAAATTATCTCTGCAGATGACATAATCTTAAATGTAGAAGACTTAAAATTTCCACAGGAAAAAACTGATAGAGCCTGAGGGTTACTGGGGGGTGGGGGAGTAGGGATAAGGTGGTTGGGTTATGGATATTGAGGAGGGTATGTGCTGTGGTGAGTGCTGTGAAGTGTGTAAGCCTGATGATTCACAGATTTGTACCCCTGGGGCAAATAATACATTATATGTTAGCAAAAACAATTAAAAACAAAATTTAAAAAACCTGATAGAGCTAAAAATGAATTCAACAAAATTGCGAGATACAAAATCAGCTTGCAAAGGTAGTTCCTTTTACGTAATGCTAGCAATGAACAGACTAAAATGAAGAAAGCACTTAAAATAGCATTAAAAGAATAAATTATTTTGCAATAAATTTTACCATGCACAAAGACTTATATACTGAAAACTAGATAACATTGCTGAAAGAAATAAAGAAGCATAAATAAAGGAGAAAGACATTTCGTGTTCATAGATTGGAAGACCTGGTATTATCAAGATCACAGTACTACCCCAAGTAATCTACTGATTCAAAGCAGTCCTTATAAAAATCCCAATGACATCCTTTTTTTTTTTGAAGAAATAGACTCAACCTAAAATTTGCATGGTCTCTCAAGGGACCTGAAGAGCCAAAACAATCTTTAAAAAGGAAGAAAGATGGAGGACTCACACCTCCCAATTTCAAAACTTAATACAAAGTGAAAGTAATCAAAACCGTGTGATACTGGCATAAGGACAGATATATAGGCCAGTAGAATATAATAGCCCCCAAATAAGCCCTCACTTAAATGGTCAGTTGGTTTTGGACAAGGGAGCCAAGACAATTCAAAGAGGAAAGGAGCCCCTGAAAGAAATCATGCTGAGAAAACTGGATTTCCACATGGAAAAGAATGACGTTAAACCCTTTATGCCATGTACAGAAACGAACTCAAACTTGAATCTGACTTAAATTGAATGCTTCAACTATCTGTAAAACTGTTCAAAGAAAACATTAGGGGATAATCTTTATGGCATTTGATTTGGCAGGGATTTCTTGAATTTTACACCAAAAGCATAGGCGACAGAGATACATGGGACTTTGTCAAATCAAAATTTTTGTCCACCAAAGGACATAATCAACAAGTGAAAAGACAACCTGCAGAACAGGAGAAAATATTTGTAAATCATAAATGTTCAAAGAAATTGGTATCCAGAATAACAAAGAAAAACTCAATTTAAAAATAGGCAAATAGACATTTCTCTAAAGAAGATGCACCCATGGTCAATGAGCATATGAAAAGATCTTCGGGAGGGTACATAACGAAACCACAGTGAGATACTCCTTCACACCCATAAGTGTGGCTATGATCAAAAACAACAAGTATTAGCCAAAATGTGGAGAAATTGGAACCTTTGTGCATCGTTGGTGGGAATGCAAAATGGCGCGGCTTCTGGAGAAAACGCTTTGGCAGTTCCTCAAGAAGTTTAACATTGTATTGCCCTGTGATCCAGCAATTCTACTTCTGGGTTTATACTCAAAACAGTTGAAAGCAGGGACTCAAAAAGATTGTACCATCATGTTTATGGCAGCATTATTTGCAATAGCCAAAAGTTGGAAACATCTCATGTCCATTAATGAATGGATAAACAAAATGTAGTATATAATACATAGAATGGAATATTTCAGCCAAGATAATGAAATTCTGATATATTCTGATACAATATAGATGAATCTGGAACACATTACACTAAGAAGAGTAAATGAAAAGGACAGATATTATAGGATTCTGCTTAAATAAGGTTTCTGGAATAGGCAAATTCATACAGACAGAAAGTAGATAGAGATTACCAAGGGTTGGGGGAGGAGAGAATGAGGGAGTTTTTTTTTTTGTTTGTTTTGTTTTTTTAAACAGTCTTTTTTTTTTTTTTTTAAGATTTTATTTATTTATTTGACAGACAGAGATCACAAGTAGGCAGAGAGGCAGGCAGAGAGAGAGAGAGGAGGAAGCAGGCTCCCCGCGGAGCAGAGAGCCCGATGCGGGGCTCGATCCCAGGACCCCGGGATCCCGACCTGAGCCGAAGGCAGAGGCTTTAACCCACTGAGCCACCCAGGCGCCCCAGAATGAGGAGTTTTTATGTAATGGGTACAGAGTTAATGTTTGAGATAATGAAAAAAAGTTCTGGAAATGGATAGGGATGATGGTTGCACAACATTGTGACTATACTTAATGCCACTGAATTGTATACTTAAAAATGGGTAATATGGGGGGTGCCTGGGTGGCTCAATCAGACATACGACTCTTGATCTCAGCTCAGGTCTCGATCTCAGGGTTGTGAGTTCAAGCCCTGTGCTGGGCTCCATGCATGGAGCCTACTTTAAAAAAAAAAAAAAAGGGTAATACGGTAAATTCACAGATATATGTAAATTATATATACAGTTTATATATATTTGTGTATGTGTATGTGTATAATTTCTATTTTGTTTTTCCAAGAAGAAAGTGGGTTTTTATTAGCACTTTGGTGTTTTTTCTTTAAGTAAGCTCCACGCCTAATGTGAGTCTCAGACTCACAGCCCTAAGATCAGGAGTCCCACACATTACTGACTGAGCCAGCCAGGCGCCCCTGTTAGCAGTTTTATTTTATTTTATTTTTTAAGATTTTATTTATTTATTTGACAGAGTTCACAAGTAGGCAGAGAAGCAGTCAGAGAGAGGAGGAAGCAGGCTCCCCGCTGAGCAGAGAGCCTGATGCCGGGCTCAATCCCAGGACCCTGGGATCATGACCTCGGTGGAAGGCAGAGGCTTTAACCCACTGAGCCACCCAGGCACCCCCATTAGCAGTTTTAATAGTTGATTTTCATTGAAAGGAATACTCTGAAGGAATTTAGTGTTTTAATACCTGAAACTCATGTATTTTTCTCAAATGTATAGCATCAATGCAGAATCACGTATTTTATTAAATGGAGCAAGTTAGTTGATAATAAATGAAGTGTGTATGTTTTAGTTTTTAATGTTCTAACTTAGAAACATCTCTCTTCTAGTAAGGACTACTGAGCATTTTCTGTGAGCTATTGCCAATGTTCTTCTTTAACTCTCTGCTGGAGAATGCAGCCTTTCCTGTGTAAATAAATTTGATATGCATCGATTTAGGAGTGTTACATTTATCAAATTCGGAATAAAAACATTTTTTAAAGTTCTGGAAATGTGTAGTGGTGATAATTTCATGTCTTTTTGGATGTACTTAATGCTTCTGAATTGTACACTTAAAAATGGTTAAAATGGTAAATTTTCATGATGTATAATTCACATTTAAACAAAACAAAAACTCTGTATGATCTAATTCTGATATTAACTAGAAAAAAATTACAATCTTTTAGCTAAAATTTAAAGCAAATGTGCTTTAAAACTGTGCTCCAGTTTATGTGGAATAACTAAACTGAGTTGTCATAACCATGATGCCTTGGAAAACCATTACTTCGAAGTAGAAACTATTTTCTTACCTGGTTCTTGTTTTCCCCTTAACTGCAGTGTGTAATGCATCTTGAAGACCGATTACAGGAGTTATACTTCAAGAGCAGAATGCTGTCTGAGTACCTGAGGGGACAGATGCGTGTTCACGTCAAGGAACTAGGAGTGGTTCTAGGGTATGTTTGTGGCTTTCTCATTGCACTTTCTTTAGGCAAAGAATATTCCCGGAATTGCTTTTTAGAAGTTGGACACTGTTATCAGTTGGGTTGCTCTATACCGTATAAAAGCAGATCCCTGGCTTCCGCTGATCTGAAAGACATTGTCCCGTATACTATTACAGTAAGTTGAGAAACTTGTAATTTACATATGTTGTAAACTCATGCTTCGCAGCATCTGCCCTGTCATCCAAATGAGCTGACTGAAGTAACACCATTCTGTGGGTGGTAGTACATTATCTACATATTATTACTCCTCCATTATTTTTATATTGTGTCTGTCTGCTTTGCAGTTATCCTTGGGAAGAAGACATTTTTCTAAAATGCTAACTGAAGGAGGAACAGGAAATTGGTGGGAAACTCTGATTAGCCCTTTTCATTATAGTCTGTAGACACTAGTCACTTTGCCTGTGTTCGTTCTATAGCTACTTGCGTGTGTGCGTGTGTGTGTGAGAATTATTTCCCCAAATCCTAGATGCATAAATTGAAACAAGCTGGAACTTTTTAAAATTGAGCTTTTTAGAAGGGAGAGAGGACCAACATCAAGTAGCAACCGTGTCAGAAACCAAATTAAATTCTTTCATTAATATTACTCCTCCTCATCTAGATTGGATATAGATGATTCTGTATGTATCATGCCATCATTTAAAAGAAATTAAACTAGTTTTTAATGTAATATGCATATAACCAAATTTTACAGTGCATTTTGGCATAAAATGAAAATTAAGTTGTTAGTGTCTTTTCCCTAACTTCTGATCCTCACCCAAACACAATTAATGGATTGTTTCTTCTTACAGAATTTTTAAATATATAGGATAAAAAGTATAAATTGATTTATTTTCTATATATCATGGTGCTACTTGCCTTTTAATATATCATAAATGTTCATATAAGTACATACTGATTTATCTCGTTACTTTTAATGGTTGTATAGCATTTCATTATATAGTAGAATTTAGATTATTTTCAGGTTTTGTGCTATTATAAATCAATGCTGGAATGAATATAAATCTTTGAAGTTCGTAGGATAAATTTTTAGAAGTAGAATTTTTGGTTAAAGGACATGTGTATTAAATTTTTGATGGATATTATTTGTTATTTTGATAGGTAATACTAAAGGTTGTCCAAAAATTATCAGAATAAATTCTCACTGTCAGCAGGAAGCACACCCTTCCTACTACTGCTGGCTATTGCCAAACGTTTTCATCTTTCTCAAGCAACTAGCTGAAAAAATATGTGATTTTATTCAGATTTATTCTATATGAATAAGTCTACAATAAAGATGTATTTTTAAGAAGATTCCATTATCAAAAAAGAAGCAGCAGCAGCCCCTATTATTTCCTCTCAGTCCTTTTTTTAAAAAAGATTTTATTTATTTATTTATTTATTTATTTATTTATTTATGAGAGAACATGCAAAAGAGTAAATGTGTGTGTGTGTAGTGGGGATAGGGTGGAGGAAGAGGAAGAGAATCTCAAGTGGTCTCCACTTGCCCTAAGTGCAGAGCCCTGTGCAGGGCTCATGACCCTGAAATCATGATCAGAGCCAAAACCAAGAGTTTGTTGGATGCTTTACTGACTGAGCCACCCAGGGACCCCCCAAGTACTTCTGTAAAAACATTTGTATCCAAGACAGTATGGGTGGACACAATTACTCTATTATTAGACTTTATTGTATTTCTTAAGATACTGTGCCTTACCCTGATGCCTGGTCTATTAGCAGATCAGTGAGATGCTTTCCTACATCCATGACTTAGTTACTAATACGGTTTCAGTGGCTTTTTTTTTTTTTTTTTAAATCTTTTGTTCTGATTTTTACATACTGAAGCATTTCTACTTTGTGTTATCATTAATTCTCTTTTTACCCTTTTCCTATTGGCCAGAGTGGCCTAGGTTCTTGACTACTCAGATGTGGTATGTAACAGTTATTACCTGTAAGACACATGTGTTGGTTATAGAAACCCTAAACTGAGATTTTTGTTTTATTTCAGGATTGAATCCAGTGATCTTCCTCTTCTGGCTGCTGTAGCAAGCACTCACTCTCCATATGTTGCTCAGATACTTCTTTAATATAAAGGTTGTCAGAATTAACTCTGGTAGAAAGTTAAACAGAAACTAAGGAAGTAGATGCAACATTCATATATGGCAGTTTTTTTTCCCAGTTAGACTTCGATCTGAATGAGTCAAGTGCCTGGGTATCCTGTGTTGCAGTATACATTGTGTGATCATTGGATTGCTTTTTTCTTTTGGCTGGACTTTTGGGTGGTGGTATACTTTTAAGCAAGTGAAACTAAAATAGCATAAATAATTTTGAGGGAAAGCATTTGAAAAAGCCAAAGTGTAGAAATTTCTAAATAAGTAATAACATCAAGGAATTTCATATGATCACTCCCGTGTTGCCACACTCATAAACAGCAGTGGATGTTTGATGATTCAGTGGCTCAGAAATAATCATTTCACTAGTTTTAATGCCTTATTTCTAAGGTATGGATATATGACAAAAGCTTATTTGTTCTTTTGTTTTTCAATTCAAAGTAGCTAATTTGGGGGTATTTCTCAGAGTATTTTAAACAGCCTGTTAGTTAGAATAAATCCAGAATAATGAGTGTAATTGTGTGTATGTTATCCATCCAAGTGTACATACGTATCTATTTTTTAAAACAAAGGTAGAAATACAAGATTGATTGGTAAACATGCCCTTTTTTAAAATAATATTTTCAGCTAGTATCAATTGTAAATAATGTTTAAATGTTACTCTCTGGTGAATTTTCTGTTCACACACCCTAAAATGTAACTAAAGCTGATCTTTTTTTAAGGCTGAGGAATGTAGATTCCCCAAATAAGAATACTACTTTATACCATTTGTTTTGTTTATAAGTATAAGCTAATTCTTACAAATGTTAATATTTACATATTTGCATCTAATTTAATAAATGAAAATTAGGATTAAAAATTACACCAAAGCATTGGGAAAAAGAATACTATTTTCTTTAAAAGTGCTCAGGTAGCCAAGGCTTTTGCTTTCAGTATCAGCCCCACAGGAACTGAATATTTGTTTCACTGCTTCATAATATTCAGTTTACACTAATAGAGCTTATTATAAATTCTTAAAATTATTTCTTTCTTCTAACAGCCCCCCCTTCCAAAATCTAATTTTTTTCAAATATTTTCACTTTTCAGTTATTACTGTTTTTGTATATATTGTTGAGTGTTGCTTATGAGAAAGGCTAATATGGAACCAAACTCTTGTAAGTAATGTAAATAGAAAGATGGGTAAAGTTTTCAATACGCTCTACTACCTCAGTTTACTTGAATACTATGTTATAGTTTATTCTTTACTTATCTGATCAAAGATACTTTTAATGCTAGACGTGAAATTGGTTTCTGCTTTCATGGACTATTTTCATCATAATTGATTAGCTTAAAAAAAAACCCTTGCTTATTCTCTTAACTAAGTATAATTACTGTATAATACATTCATTCTTGCTGTTTGAATTTTCAGTAATTAAGGAAAATTTCTGTGGTTTGTTTAGTCTTTGGCCTTGAATTTATAGTGTTGGGTCACATTTTGCCTTGTTCTTTATGTATTCAAGAAATCTCCAACTTGACAAGAAATGGTTGTTTTGATGGAGTATAAACCTGAAATTGTGCCTGCAAATCACTTTTGCTCCTGCATCCTATCAGCTGGTCCCAGCTAGTACCTGAGTCTCCCATGGATGACTTGCTGCCAAAGAGTATTTATGGATCTGTTTTCTTTGGCTTAATATTCTTATTCCATTAATTGTTGAAATTCTTCCCTCTTTTATTGTTTGGAATTCTATAAATCAGTCTCTTTGGCAGAATTCAGAATATAGACAGATTCATAGGTGGGCCATTGTACACTATTTTTTTATTGTAGTTCAGAATGACATGTAACTATCAAACTATTCGAAGTCCTGTTTGAAATCTCTAATTATCATCTAGGAAATCTAGTCTTCAATAAATGGATGGCCCATCCTACTGTTCCTTTTAAAACTAAGCTTTGGGGGTGCCTGGGTGGTTCAGTCGGTTAAGCGTCTGCCTTTGACTCAGGTCATGATCCCAGTGTCCTGGGATCGAGTCCTGCATTGGGCTCCCTGCTTAGCAGGGAGCCGCCTTCTCCCTATCCCACTCACCCTGCTTGCGCTCTCTCTCTGTCAAATAAATAAATAAAATCTTAAAAAAAAAAAAAAAAAAGCAAAAACAAAACTAAGCTTTGCAGGGCACCTGGGTGGTTCAGTCAGTTAAGTGTCTGCCTTCAGCTCTGGTCATGATCCCAGGGACCTACCTGCTTCTGTCCTCCTTACGCGTGCTCTCTCTTGCTGTCTCTCTCTCTCAAATAAATAAAATCTTCAAAAAAAGAAAAGAAAACTAAGCTTTGCTCAGAAGGAAGAGGCCTATAGTTTCTTATAGAATCATTAATCCTTATAGGATTCCTGAGTTTTACAATTCCTAACCCTCTGATTTCTACTACCTTCATCATAGTCTTGTATTTCCTTATACAAAGCCCAAGGAATGAGCTGCTACTTCTTTAAAGTGTGATCATTATGATGAATGTGAAGAGTTTTGGCCTGTTCAAAATAATTTTTTCGGCTTCCTATGGTACAGACAGATATGTATTACATATTTTAAAAAAACCTGTTTGTTTCAACAGGAAAAAAAAAACTGTTGCAACAGGAAATGAAAAAGGGATCTTTTACATTATAGATTTAAAACTAATTTTTCCTTGTATATAAACTAATTGGTTTGATTTGAAATATTCTTGACTTTTATTAATATGTCTTAATATTGAGTTTGAAAATGTTAAGTGCAATAAACATACTAGCACAGATTTTGTTTTGTTGCAGTTGGCATACACTGGGGATGATCACTTAAAAAAAAAACAATTTTACACAATGCCTACTTCTGGTGGATGTCTTATGAGATTGTTCTGCTTTCTCTAAGTTATTTAGATGGTGAGATATGTAAATGTACATACTTGTTCCTTGTTCTGTATACATTTCTCAAATGTACACCTGTATTATAAATAACCTCCCAGTTCTAGGGGAAATTTGTGCAATAAACACATGTCAATTTGATGGATGATGTTGGTCTTTATTTCATGTGTAAATAAGGCATATGTAATATGGACTCTGGTGTCCACTAACTTGTATAGTTTTCACAAGTGTGGCAGTTGTAGATATGTGACCTTGTTCATAATGTCCTTCTTTAATCCCATATTTCTTTAATGGTTAGTAGAATCTACTTTCTGAGGTGGTGTGTGAATCAAGTGACATAATGAACGTCAAAAATTTATCTCAATGCATGGGACACCCCACCTGCTTAGTAATTCTTGTCTGCTGCTATTACTCGGTAATCTGTCGAGCCTCCCCACTGTGGACTCTAGCTGTTGTGGGGAGAATTTAACATTATATTCTGATGAATGAAAATATAGTCATAAAAAATATACTGGTATAGTATTCCATTTGTCCTGTTCCTTATGACAAATAGAAAGTTTCAACTGCTTTTTTGAAAACAAACTAAAAATATTTAAAACCTAGAAGAAGCCATGTAAACTAGTTAAGAACATTGTATTCTATGCAAATTACCATTGACTTTACAATTAAACCAAAATACTTGGTTTGGGTTCTAATCCTGTTTTGTTCACTGATTTGCATGTGATTCTGAGCAAGTCTGTCCTCTTCATCTTCATTATAGGGTAAGTAAGCTCTTTCATCAGTCCAGAGTGCCAGGTCTGCAGCAGTGATTCATTCCTGAAGAGGCTTTTGAGATGCTACCTTATGTCACTCAGGCCAGTTGATTTGGGCAGACTTAGGTCAGGAGGCAGGATTAGACCAGTGGCTTTTTGTAGTGCCTGTTTTCACATCATTTTATATAAATATATACATGTGATATATATGTGTGTGTGTGTGTATCACTCTTATATTTGACTAAAGAAAATAAGTGCACTATTATATTTTTAAGATTTTATTTATTTATTTGAGAGAGAGAGAGAGAGAGACCACGATAAGGGGGAGGGTCAGAGGGAGCAGACTCCCCGCTGAGCAAGGAGCCTGATACGGGACTCGATCCTGGGACTCCAGGATCATGACCTGAGCCGAAGGCAGTCACTTAACCCACTGAGCCACCCTGGTACCCCAAGTGCACTATTTTAAAGCAGAGAGGAAATATCAAGTTTTGGGGAAGACTCCATCAGATATTTTAAAGGTTTATAACTGGGTACCTGTGTCAGTAAGTGCTGTTCCTGAATACAAATTTAGAGAAATATTGGAACATTTCTGAGAAGCAGAGAGAAATGATTTTGGTAATAAGAATCTGTAACACAGGGGTGCCTGGGTGGCTCTTTGCTCAGCGGGGAGCCTGCTTCCCTTCCTCTCTCTCTGCCTGCCTCTCTGCCTACTTGTGATCTCTGTCTGTCAAATAAGTAATAAAATCTTTTTAAAAAAAATCTGTAACAGAATTTAATATGAGATCATACTGTCTTTCCATGAGCATCTGTTTTCTCAGACCAGAATGGTTTCCAACTGTATGTGGTAACAAATGTATTAGAAAAGATAATCTGGTATTTGTTTTTGCTAGTGTAGAAAGGAGAGTAGAATGGCACGTGAGACCAAACCCAAGGTGAAAGTACAAGGGGTGCTGAGGAACTGTAGCTTTGAGTAGGAAGGACTTAGATAAAAAGGCTGAGGTTAGAGAGTGTAGTGCTTCTTATCCTTGTTTTGGAGTGCAGACCATGGACTTGGTGTTTGTTCTAGGTTAAACCTTTGAGACATCCCTAAAAAAGAAAGAGAGAGAGAGAAAGAAAGAAAAAGAAAGAAAGGAAGGAAGGAAATATAAGCTGTCCAAAAGAGAGTTTTAAAGAATATATGAGATTCCCATTCATTATATCAAGAGAACTTTGGTGGTATTAAAGCATATGCTCAGCTTCCACTAACCCCCACCGTGTAGTCTGAGATTTGGTCCCTTGTAATTCTTTTAGAAGGGACTTTGGTCAAAATGTGAGCCTAGACCAATCCCTTCATTAAATTGCAGACAGATCTCTGGGTTAACACTGATTAGACCTCCCACAGATAAATCTGTATTTACTCTTAAGGAGAGTACTAAGTTGAAGAGGCTTGAGGTCCCTTGTTTTCCAAGTGACTGTTTTAACAAGGGCAGTCCAAATACAGACAGGTTTCTATATTCACCTCAGTGCTCATATATTCAGATTCTTGGTAAAGACAATGTTACCTAAATTGTCTCAAAGGGACTCACATTGTTGAAATGTGTAAATATAAGGGAGATATTTTCTCAAGAAACTATGAGGCCGCTCTTACGTCACACAATTAGTCTAGCAATCACAAGTCTGTATCCTCCATTGTGTGAAGAGGCTTGGAATTAAGTTGGGTCAGATTAGTTCAGAACCGGAGTTAGTTTAAAGTAGTTTTTAAACCTTGTCACATACTAGCAACACCTAGGTAGGGGTGCTTGGGTGGCTCAATCCTTAAGCATCTGCTGGTTTGGCTCAGGTCATGATCCCAGGGTCTTAGGATCCAGCCAGGCATTGGGCTCACTGCTGGGCTGGAAGCCTGCTTCTCCCCCTCCCAC